AGTGCTTTGGACCCTCTGGTTCAAGGTTCCGCACCACCACCACCGAACTTTTGTGGTAGGCCACTTTGTCGTCGTCCGGTTCAATGTCACATCTAACCTAGCAGAGCCCTATATGGTTCATCACTCCCAGTCCCGGGGCTTAGGTTACCGCTTTCCAGCACTGAAACATAGGTCTTCGCGACCACCCATCGGCTGTTCATCACACAAATATGCGTAATAAAAAAATTAAAAAAACCATCGTGTATTTTTAACCTTGTTAGCTGATATAATTCCTCAATATCGTCATATCTAGAGAGTTTTGAATCTGTATGTATGAATACATTTTTGTTTAGCTAACTCATAAATAGAGAGCTGAGTAAATAGTAAGATAAGTTACACGGAATATGGAAAAACCGCAGACAATGTGTTTGTATTGATACTACAATGTGGGAACAATTGGAATGGGGCCGGATTGAACGGCGCCCATTTAGGCATCACAGTTTTGCTGGCGATTTTCAGCTGTTATATATTCCGGCAAGAAGAAGCGGTAAGTTTGCTACACATTTCGGGGAAAAAATACAGAGGAGATTTTCCATATGTCTGTGTATCAGTTGCCCCCCTATCTCTCACTCACTCTGTCACTTTTGAGACTACAGAATGTCAACTGAATGTCATTTTGTCTGCTATCCAGTACGGGGACAAGCAAAAAGGATGTTCATTCGTTACAACCAATCAACGATTGGCGTTAACAAATGACTATACGAATTGATCAGTTTAAGTAAAATGTCACCATGGTTTCAGCTCAGTTTTCAGATTTCCATTCCGTCGACAAGTACAGGAACAAATGTTCAGGGTGATTTTCCCTCTGGCGAAATCGATTTTCCTCGATATGAGCGTAAATTTAGCGAGTTTAAATAAAAACTAAACACAGTTAGTTCGTGGGGAGTGGAACGTACCAATTGAAAAACTACTTCGCTCTTTGTCAAATTGATCTATCCCAATGTAGCCAAGTGAAATCATGATTCTCTTTGTCCGTAGAATTTCATTTAGTTGCTGTTAGTTTTCAACAATGATACGAAAAGTTCACCTCAAACTAATGGGTACTCTGTGAAATGTTTTGGGGATGCCGTTGAAAACCTCCCTTTGCACGCATGCACACACACAAACACACACACACTTTTGCGTCGATTGAAAACAAACTCAACTGAACAAAATGTTTATTGCCATTTTTAGCCAATAGGGCAACTGAAAACCCTATTTTGCGTGTGTGCGTGTGTATGTGCGTGTGCATTTTTGATTCGCGATTCGTGTTTTTTTTTCAATAACGTCCTCTTTAGGTCTATAGACTTGCGATGGGCTGTATGTACACAGGCAATATTGGGATATTAAGTGGATCGATTTTGAATAAATGTCAATACTCATTGTGGAACAGGCAAGGCAAGCTGATTATTGTGTTACTTCTCTCAATCACAGAGTCAAGGAGCTTACTGTACTCATGAGAAGTTTTGTCTATTAACAACTCGCATTATATGGAAGAAAAAGTTCCCCGTGATGAAGTAATTTGTCATGAGTGGTAGAAATTCGCAAGCACAGTAAGTAGAATTCAATAATTACAACACTTAGATCAGCGTTTAGTTAGATCTGACGTGAAGTTGACCCCAATAGGCATGGACAACTAAGTGAGCGGTTGCATTCTCAAAAAAACATAAGTGGAAATTACTAAATTAATGGTTTTCAAACAGCGTAATGGCAAATTTGAGGCTTTACCAAATACTTTAATTGGACAGTAGTGTTCCGGCATTCTGCGCATTCCAAGAATCAAGTTTGTGGAATTCTTCTGGTTTGTGGAATATGCGTGGTGTAAGCGGACAAGGTAGAATTTTTTTTTCTGTTATTGCATTTTTTGCTTTCCAAACTGTACACTATTTTCATTATCAGAAGTCACGTGTGGGTACGGTACGCCAAACAGCTAAAATCGACAGTCTGTAATGACAAACCCAATCCTGAACCAAAGTTGTCGTTGGACATGTTAATGGACACATTCGCCATGTCAGTCCCCGACCATGAACCACAAAAACCAACACCCTCAACGAAGATAGAAGAATCCCCGTAACCTCGACGACGGACGGATTGCGCGCGCACAGCCACGGTACCGTTCCAAATCAACCCGAGTGTACGTTACGACAACAATTCGTCGAGCTCAAAAGGACGAGGTGTTAGGACAGATTACGCACGTATCCAAGTCAGACCACACACGCGCTCGCAACACTCAAGGCAGGCTGAGCCCGATTGGATCGATTGGATCGATCAATCGATACGCCAAGGCCGCAATTTGAATGTGACATCTCAAGCAGTTTCTCGTATATGTGATTGTGCTTGATATTTGCGTATCGAAATCTGACTGAAGAAAATACACACTGACTTTGTCTCCAGTTGTGTTCTCTCTCCATGTTATTGTTGTGGGTTACGCAAGAGTCGCTCGAGTCACTCGTAAGTCTAGACCACACACAACAGTTTTTGCTTTTTTGCTTTTCAAACTGTACACTATTTTCCTTATCAGAAGTCGCTCTAACACTGATATGGGTAGCCTGAATTAGTGATATTTCACAATTATTTCTCATGCAAAACAAAAATGTGATGATCGATTTATTTACACGGTTTTTCAAATAAAAATAAAGTGCTGTGTGCTTTCATTTTTGAATCGGTAATTGACTTCTATCTCCTTACATAGTACACTCAGATAAACATGCAAAACTGGCTGATTCATGTGTGTTAATCTGCGAACGAAATCAAAACTTTTTGTCCAATTGTGACGTTTTTCTCTTTAATCATGGTCTTTCGGTCCACATTCTGTATATTTACAAATCAGATGATCTCGTGTCACGTGACACGGGACAATTCCATCTGGGAGCTATGCGTTACAGCTTTACGTTGTTCAATGACAAACCAGCATTTTGAATTATTCCGGTTGCCTGCAACTCGATCAGAAATATCATTAGCATAAAACACAGAATCTGATTGATTACTACTTTATGGGCGACTAATCCGTTCATGCGCATCTTATGTAATCCACCTGATTTATTCTAATCAAATAAATGCTGTTAATCGTTTTCTTCCCGCTTCTGGATATCAGGAACCACCGCTGGCTGTTTACGTGTAACCCATAAATAGTTCAAGCATTGCAATTTGCTTCTACACACCCATACAAGATATCCTGAAAATACCTCAAACTAAAAGATTAATGTTAAACACCGTATGAACGATGAATAATTAGTGAAGCACAATATTCACTAAATTAAACTTGTCTGCTTGTCCCGACTCAAAATGTGCGTGTCTATCAAGAGTTTGACAATGACCCGGGTGGAATTTTGTCGTGATAGTTAAAGTTTAGTTTTGACGATTCTCCTTCCTGTTGTGTGAAGCGAACGAACACTAAAACTTGAATGAAACAATCGGACGATTCGAAGGCGTACGGACAGTGAACTGAGTAATGCATTCTGTTAAAAATAAACTGTTTCTTCCGGTCTGTCGGGACTTCACCCACGTCTTTTTTATTTCACTGTCATGGCTTTTTACCTTGGTCGAACTATCCATTACCACATTGCATCGATAATCCCGTCATTCAATTTTGCTCGGATCCTGGCATGTACGCATGCACGGAAACACACACAATTGCACTCTGATCGAGGTTTTTCCCGACGTTGTGGTCTTTCCGACCCACAAGCCTTACCAACTTGCCTTGTCTGGGTAGTTTCACATTGGCGTCTTGTGGGGGCTGGAACACACAGACAGAAATAAAAACACATTCTGGCTTTGAGGACATATCTTGGCGATAACCAGTAGACCAATTGGTACTGGGCCGATTAAAATGATGAGTGAATAAAGGCTGAATGATTGAGAGAAACAGCATAACAGCGGTAAAAGTTACACTTATGAAACAGCCAAGTGATCAACCTTGATCACAGTTCCCGTGGCTGCGAGCTCCATGAAAAACCGATAAAAAGTTCACTTTGGTACATATGTTGTTCGTTATGTCTTTGGGCGGAAGAAGTTGTCCTTGTATCAACTCATGATATCGATTCAAGTTATCTCATTGTCATTTTAGGTTGCCGGGAGCATCAATTCAAGCTGCCCCAAAATCGATTAACAATTTCCAGCTGTTACGCTGACGTCGTCGTTAATACCAGGTCCAAGTACAATTCAAGCCTCATAACGATATCTGGATGATCACCATTAGGTACACAATGATTATCAGCCTCCCATTGAAATACGGGTTGTGGGGGGGGGCACAGTATTGTAACCACCCTCTCAGTCAGGTGAATTTCTGACCAATTTCACGGTAATACGTAATAGTGGCCGGGACTTACGGAAAACGGTTCACCGTGTACTGCGTACGACTATACGCTACATGTGGCCCTGTCTTACCCACGTGCTGACATGATCACGGAAACCGTCGTGGGAAATGATATACAGACTGGGTATTTTATGGATCACCGTGCCTCTCACTCTCACGATATCATTCCGATTGTTGAGCGAGGAACGGCCAGAACGGACGGACATCGATCAATATTATCGGCACCGCTGTGCTCCCACGTGTGCTCGTGCCATCGTTGTCAAAAATCGGTTCTCCAAGAAATTCCGTCGATATATTTTCTCTAGTCCACCGAACTCTAATCATATTTGGGAAGAGAATCACAGGCGTTAATATATATCCCTGAACCAATCACATTGTTCGGTGGGCAAAATTAAAGCCTTATACGGACCAATCATAAACAAACGATCAATTCAAACAACACTCTCATTGTTATCCTCCTAGGTGATACGGACAAGACCGTTTGGGTCGTGATCGAACTGTCAGTGAAACGTGATTAACTCGAGATACAATTCATCACGTTTCTATGGTAACAAAAACATATCCCAAAGAAGCACTCAACACATGCAATTAATTGTCACAACTTTCGCTCATTACAGGCCATTGATCCGTGGAGTGCGGGGGGGGGGGAGGAGGAGGAGGGAATAAGTCAACAGAACCACAATGCAATCGACTTCTCTAAGCTGACCCGCCCGTGCCACGCTGGTACGATTCCATGTTTCATCTTCAATTGTGATTCCAGATTCGTGTTTATTCTGCCTGCTACATGGTTGTTAAGTTCATTTCCAAATTTTCCGTGGTTCCATATTGCCCGCACTGTAGAATGGAATACTCGCGGTCCACCAGGAATGACCCCCTCAGAGACCGTGTTGAACACATTGCAGTAGTAGTAGTAGTAGTAGTAGTAGTAGTAGTAGTAGTAATAGTAGTAGTAGTAGTAGTAGTAGTAGTAGTAGTAGTAGTAGTAGTAGTAGTAGTAGTAGTGATGCCCACTGAATTCGGAACACGAGCCACGCAATACGAATCCCGGAATACGAATCAAGAACTAGCAATCGCGGACTGGATCACTGAAGCACTGGACCGCGTCATTGACGTCACCTTTGAAACTCGATTGATCGCAGGTGTCGAAAAACTGTAACGCGCCGCTCAGGGTAGGCTTCATCTCGTAGGCGTGGATCAACACAGTACATCCGTCTGGTTGGCAGCTTAGTAGAAAGTCCAGAAACGCAATTTGCTCATTATCTTTGTTCTCTAAAGTGAACTTTATGTTCGGATGTGCTGAGTTAATTACTTTTAAAAGTATTGCCAGATTCAAACTGTCATCGACAAAACACAAAATGTCATCTCCATATCGCTTGCGTAATGCACACCGATCGATTGTTCGTTTGAGGATGTTATTCTCAAGCTTTGCCATGAAGACATCTGCAAAAAATTGTATTTCCACCTACGTTTGTAAATTTATCGCATCCTTATTGCACTTAACAACAAAATAGATCTCGACTTTTTTAGTACTCAGTCGCCTGTCATTGATTGAAAAAAAACATGGTTTTATTAGGCAACTTTTTGTTTCCTGCTCTTTTTTCTCCAATTTCATTGTCTACCCCGGTTTCCCAATCTGCGGTTATTTCTACTACAGGTCCGCAAAATTCTGACTGTGTTGCACAAGCTCGCTGTCGGACTATCCGTGCTGTACAAGTTGCCGACTAAAGGAGAAATCTCAAAGAACCGGTATCCATCAGTCCCGGTTCGAATTGCTTAAAATTACTGAAACTGTTCAATGTGAAATCGGCTTAGGAAAACAACAAACAAAACACATCAATATCACTGTCCCGGTTTCAAACAATCCATTTTCACAGAGGGGAATCGGGCAATCAAAGACTGCATACAGTATGCTTTTTATGTACCTCAACGAACCTCTAAATAAACTGTGCATCTTGGTTAACTTTAATGTCCGGTTTTAGATATGATTCAACACTAATCGGTGCTTAGAAAGAAGAACACTGAATCGGTGTTGTCTTCATTGATGATTTCAGAATATCTCGGGTAGGTTTCTCGATACGGCTACGATATTGAATGGAACCATGCTGAATGCGCCTCCTTATGCTCTACACGTGACTCAACGAAT